TGCACAGTGACAGCCCCGCGGCTGCGATGCTAGAGTGGCTTCGTGTAGGCGTTCCAACGGCTGATCAGGACCCTGGTCCTCCAGTTGTGATGGTCGACATCAACAACGTCTCGTCGTATTACCTTAATCGACGTGGGTGAAGAGTTACACAAGTAATATCTTATATGCCACATAAAAACACGGTGGACAAATACAAACGAATTGTAATATTGAAACTATTTTCAAATTAATGTGATGCAGTAATTTGCATTGTTGTAACAATGGCTATGTTTGTGTATAAGCGTAAGGTAATATGTTTTATTCCGAAATTACTTTTAATTGATTATTATAGCTAGCGAGCATTTGCAGTAGCTACTATCGGCGTAGTGAAGTGCATTGCTTGATAATTGCATCTTAATAAATTTACATGACAGATTTGGGTACCTTGATGAGTAAACGTTATTTATCCATTGTCAATTTGACTTTTTTCTTTCGTCATTTGTAGCTTTTGCAGACCTCGCACCCGGAAAACCGGCTTCGATCACCCTTGAAAAATCGCGACGGGGGCCGACGATAAAAGTGATCACTTCGAGTGCAGACCGCAGGTCGGAAGTTGTGGTGTCCAACCTGCAGCCTGCAAGGCGGTACTCGGTGTCGGTGCGCGCAGGCAACTCGCAAGGTGTCGGTCCTGCTGCTCCAGAAGTTTCTTTCACCACCGATGAAGATTGTGAGTGTAGACGAGTTACATTACTGTACAATCATTAAAAGTTACATTCTGTTGTGGTGGTTAATTTTTATTGGGTACAACGAACTGTTGTTGCTGTTAGTGTTGTGAGAACGGTCGCAATGCGCGATTTGTAACGTTGCAGATAGTGCAAATAACACATTACTTGATTCATATTTAATTTTTCAGAGGTGATGAAAAATTATTATCATTAAATTTGCGATCTACTTCATGGAAGGGGCTGTGTAAATATTTTATTATGTGAACTTGTAGGTCGTTAAGATTATTAAATTTATTTCGAGCGCCATGTTCTATTTTAGTTTATTATCACCAGAACGGGGTGGAAAAGCTCCTTTCTTTCTTGTAAGTTAGTGAAATTATAAGTTGCAACATAGATTAGAGAAATAACTACATGACCTTTATAGTAAACATAATCTAGGCACGATTTGACACGAATCTCCAATACTTTGGTCAGCTCCTTCAGGACCTCCTGTAGAGGTTGTGTGTCGTGGTGTGACGTCCTCCACAATCGTGGTGTCGTGGTCGCCTCCTGACGAAGACGTGACGAACGGTATCATCGTCAACTACAGGGTTGCGTACCAGCGACTCTTGGGCTCTGGTACGTTGCAGTTAGTACGTTCTATGTGTACGCAATTACCAATATCTTCTTTTTACACATCCCGAGTATTATTCCTGTTCTCAATAAATGCTGATAACTTGCATTCTTCTTCATTTGTAGTAATGTTACCTATCTTTAAATCACAATTATGTCGTCTTGCGTTAAATAATATCCTCCTTAGAAACGATAGATAATATCGTTCTCGATGCAGCTCAGCAACATTGTATTCAAACCTATAATCAAACCGCCCGTCCACTAAACCTTGTATTTAAACTAACAATTAAGCTAAATACACTAAAAAATCTCCTACGTACAAGCAATTGGGTCCCTGTGCTGTGCTTCACCGCCCCACCGCGTGAGTTGGCAGTGTCCCCGTGCTGTGCTTCACCGCCCCACCGCGTGAGTTGGGCAGCGAAATATTCTGGTGCGTGGATGGGTGTCGTGCATATCCCATTCACCACGCACTAAAGTCCATCAATGGTCGGGCTTAAGCTGATGGGCTCTCAGGCTCAGGTCTGCTTGTGGGACTTGTGTCTTCCATCGCAGTCTGCAAGAGGTATCAAAATGCTTGTGTGTTCGTGGATGGGTGGCCAGCATTCAAATTCGATATTTCCTACCTAGCTTTGTAAGACAACGGAAATTGTATACATTAAAATATCAAGAGGTTGAATAAATTCGCAGAAATGTTAGCTACTTCCTAATAAATATTAAAGTATTCACGAAAGCTTTGTTTAAATCCGTAGATAATTACCAATAAGTTGACACGGATAGTTCAGAACAATTAGTTGTTTAAAAGCTGTTCTATTCTGGAACCTGGATTATATTGTTTTAGGTGATGACTGTCACGAAAATATTTATGACGTGTTAAATGCTGTATATGCGACGATTGTCCGCTCTGCCAATTTAATGTTAAACGGCTTCACTACACGTTATTTTCATAAACAATTAAAATTTTCATATTTATGTTCGGAAACTAGCAAAAAATGCTGAAAGCAATACCTCTTGACTACGACATAGAAATTTTGTCGGCTAGTGATTGACTAACCAGGTTGTTGCACAGTGTAATCCATAGTTTTGATTTTCTCATAACAATATTTTATTTATTCGCAATCATAAAAGATTCGTTGCTATTCACTATCTGCATGATGATTGAACGCAAATCAATTACGTCACAAAGCTAAAATCTAATCTTGATATTATTAAACCTGTGACTGAGTGTGCAAGACTGCGCCAGCTCCAAGAAACGTAGATCTTTTCCTTTTGGTCACCTTTAAAATGGTTACGTTAAACGGAAGCTCAATATATAGTTTGTGTAACAATATGTAGGTTGCAGACTACAACAAAACAAGCTTCTGCAATTTAGGTACATGACGTTAAAATTAAAACTCGATATTTCCGTAAAATTTCGAGCTTTATCAATAGCTACTTCGAATCATTTAATTTTGAGCACTTTTTACAACACTTCTCTTTAACTTCACTTCTTGTTAGTTTGTTTGTTTGCTGCACATTTTATAATCGATATTTAACACATTTCTACCTATCCAATCGATCTGAAATTTTGCACACTTTCGTAAAGTCGGAGACAATGCTTGAATCAATTGACAGGTTAAGTAATTTTTGAAAATTATATATATTAAAAAAATTTTAAATACTTTTTTCACTTAAAAATAAAGTAATAAATTTATTGTACATGTGTAACATCGAAGACACTGGCCTCTCTAGAAGTGTTGTATTTAAGAAGTAATTTTTAAACGCATATTATTCGTACACAGCCGCGTCTCCACCATCCCTGGTATCTGTGATACCACTGGACCGTGGCAAGGCAGGAGTGCTGTGGCGTTCAGAGGGGTCCATGAGAGGCAGGACATCATATCATCGCGTGTCGTGGATTGCCGCAACATCTGAACAAGAATATCCGGCAGGTCTATCAGTCAACACTACGGCAGACTATGCCACACTCGAGGATCTGCCAGACTTTGCCATTAAGGTTGTATATCTTTGTATATATACGACCTGTGTGTATGCATGTTTATTATTGTAATCGAATGACGTCTGAGACTCGGTGATATTGTAATTATTTTTATTGTTTCATGGTAGTTTAGCGCTTAGCATTGGTATTTTAACTTTATTCCAACTTGTACCAGCATGGAAGCTAAATTTTAGCGTTCAAAGTTATATTACATGGCATTCATGGAGATCCATTTTGACTTCATCTTCAAAACCGTCACTGATATTTCAAAATTAATTTATTTTTTGTTTTAACAGTGTGATTTTAAATATTTTTTCGCTGCTTATAAGATTCTTCACTTCCTATTAAATTTCTATCCAATTATATTTTGACATTTTACACACAAATTTGTCCCAGGTGTGGGTAACTGCGATGATGTCCACGGGAGAAACCCTGCCCAGCCCCAAGGTTCTATACTCTCCTCGCGACCAAGGTATAATAATATGAGTTAGTTAATTACGGAATATTTTAGCGTGATCTCATCTTTTATAATAGATAATTACATTGTTCCTCCTATTCTTCACTCATTGAAACTCAGTTTTAAAATTTTCACCTACTAATTTTTCTATAAATATTTAATTGTTAATTTATAAATTATTAATCTAAATATAGTAATATTATAAATATTCATAAATATTTTATAAATTAATATTACTATTATATAATTTCACTATAAATTAGTTTCATATAGATTATTAAAAAATTAGATCGTGACCTAAGTTATGACCTAAAATTTATTAATGTAGTTTTGTGGACCTCATCAAATTTACCCTGATATTGTTTCATAAAACAGCAGCTAATGTTCATTCAGTGCAAGCTTTCCGGACATAATCGGCCGAGTTCAACCACGGGCTTTAATTCGAATTTTAGAATGTAAATATAAACCCTGAATTAGAGGGTTTAGCGCTGATTTAGTTTTACGTGGAATATACGTACATCTGTCTTGCATGTAGTTAAGTTAATCAGATAAGTTTTTATTAGGACCAATTGAGAAAAAAACTTGTTGAAACAACTGCACGGATTTTACTATGTCTGGCTATTATGGTGTGATTTGTCATTACTTATCCGAAATTTAGCTTCCGTTTGGAACTTCTTCGCTACCGAGACCTGAACTGAGTCACATCAATTGATGACTGGTTTGTACCATCAACATTTATCTAAGAAGTGATTTAGAATTTCATTTATTTTTAAAATTTGCCCACGAATCTCTTGGAAGAGTCATTCAGCAGCTCTCTTGTTCCGGTATCTAATTAATGTTGGTTGAATTACTTTTCAGAGATCAGTGGCACTGAGATATGGTCTGTGGGGCAGAGTGTGACTGTAGATGAAGGAGAGACGGTGCGGTTGCCCTGCCTGGTGCGTGGTGAACAACTCAACCCAATTCGTGTATGGACTTGCGACGGGGATCCTGTGCAAGAGAACCAGTGAGTGCCTCCCGCGTTAATGAAACTTACAATAAATGTTGTAGGATCATGAATTGTGTTCTGCATTAAACAGTTATTTTCTCATGATCCTGACGCTATTTCTCTTTTAATGAATTTCAAAATTATTGGTCTATATAGCCTTATTCCACCCTTACTACTTCTGTTATACCTGAAGTGGTTTGTTCATGCGATCAAACGGCAAATAACATATAATTTTGATACCAAAAACATGCAAGCCCCCGTTAATCCCACAACCAATCACAGGACTGAATAAAACATCAAACTCACCTGACAGCCAAAAATTAATACGATTACTAACATCAGCACCAACCATTTTAGCAATGCATCTCTTGTTTGCTGGCAGAGGCACGGCAATTTTGGCGAACGGAAATTTGTACATTTCTTCTGCACGACAACGCCACAGTGGAAGTTACGACTGCACTTTGCCTTCTGCTGCTTCAGGCAAAAGCGTTACGTACACGCTCAAAGTTTTAGGTAATTCTTGCATTCCCAGGTTATTCCGTGACATTACTAAATTGTGGTTCCACTTTCTTGCCTTTATAAAAAATAACAATCATTTGGGACTGTTGTTAAGATATCCGAATCTAAAGTTATGAGCATTATGGGGTATTTATTGTTTATATGTGCAGAAGATATCTGAATATAAAGTTATCAGCATTATACGGTATTTATTGTTTATATGTTCAGAAGATATCTGAATATAAAGTTATGAGCATTATGGGGTATTTATTGATAAAGTATTCTGGGTATTTATGGATAAAGTATTCGTGGTCATTTTGAAGGTGTTCCATCTGCACCGAGGTTGCAGGTGATCAGGACGACCAATACCAGCGCGTTGCTGCACTGGACATCACCACCTCGGCACGACGATGTACCTCCTCTCTGCTACACCCTGCGACATGTGTGCGTCTTGCTGCCCCAGTCCAGCTATGAGTTTTTTCTTTGATGAATATGACTTTTATTAGCAGTACCGTGTTGTGATGATGTCGTCATGTGGGGCAAATTGCAGTTATTTATTCGGGGAATTTTGTTCCTTGACGCTGAAATTTTGAAATTAATTTGAAAGAAATGGTCATTATCAAACTCACGAAATAGAAACATGAAAGAAAGTAACATGCAAAGAAACACGCACTTTTCTCAGGTTGCTGCGAAGTAGCGAAGGAAGTCTAGAGCTGACGGGGGTAACTAAAGAAGAGCACAACGAGCTTTCAGGAGTTGCTGGGCTGAACGATGAAGAAGGAGCGACTCTGGTCACAGGCACACAACTCCTGCTGGAGGACTTACTCTGTGGCTCAAATTATTCCTTCACTGTCACCGCCCATAACTCTTACGGTGAGATCACCATAAAGAAATAAACACTTGTGTGGTGACAACACATATACAACAGAGATAAAAACTTGTGTGGTGACAACATATGTACAACAGAGATAAACACTTGTGTGGTGACAACACATAACATAAAATAACATAGTGATGTCGGCGCTGAAGAGCAGGCTTGATGTGGCCTGTTGCCGATTCTTGAACTTTTCATGCCCTGTTCACAGAATATCTAAAATCGTGTCATTTGGGTGGCCAGGGCAGGGTGGCCCAGTGGTTAAAGTTCATAGTACCAGTATTGGCGCAGAGAGGTGCGGGTTCGATTTAGCTCTGTGCGCCAGTTTCTGGTCAGAATCGGCGAGGAGGCCGGGCGGTTAAGCATAGCAGAATTGTAGCAGTGAGTTGCGAGTTCGAGACCGCAATAAACTGTGAATGTTCTGCGATGTTAAGAATCGACAACAGGCCCACGGCCTAATAAACGCTGAAACCGCTATTATTATTATTATTTGACCGGATCTTTCCAAGACTGACGATAGTTTGAAATGGCTACTATAGACTTCCACCGGGTTTGATATGGTGCTAAGCATTTCAAGTCTGAACATATATTTTTCAATAGCTTTATATGAATTATATCTGGGTTGTTCTTGAACGCGTTCATACTCGGATGGCCAACGATGTAATCGGGGAGACTATAATATATATACAACAGAGATAAACACTTGTGTGGTGACAAGCTATAAGAAAAGAGTAGGTCCTCTTGGTGATGAAACTTACTCAAGTTCATCACAGAGCGGGTAACTCAGAGAGTAGGCGGTTTATGGTTCCAATGTGAAGAGAAAAACATTCTTGCTTTTTTCAATTCAACTACAACAAACCGGATATGAATGAACAACTGAGGAAAGTGATATTGCATTGGTGTCATTTGTTTTTGCAATCTGGCGAAAAATATGGAAAAACAAATTTTCAAAAATTTCATTTCGCATCCTTGCTAATGGAATGAATTAAAAAAAATATGTATCCGGGATTTAATGAAGAGAAAGTCAGTTAATGAGTTAAGTTTGTTTCAAACAAACCACCTACATGTATTACTTAGAGAGTAATAATTTATTCCGCAAGAATGTAGTACACATTCAGTAATTCATTTAATCTATTATGTTCATTCTACAAATGACAACCCCATTAAAATGAAAAAGGAAAGCCGAATTAGACTACACGTCAGCCGTACAATTATAATTTAGCCGTAATTTATATGTTAGCCAAATTAGATTACATTTTATATCTTATGGAATGCCTCCCGCAGGATCCAGCCCGCCATCGCTCCCTGTGGACATTTCCACTAAAGGATCCCCTCCTACGATGCCAGCAAACTCTCGCAACTACAAAATGTACCATGGGAACTTGGAAGCTTGGACTTCACAAAACTCAGACGCAATATTCCTGATGAACAGCACACATGTATTTGTTCACATAAACTCTTGGCATCACACCGACTGCAAAATAATGTATTTCAGCGTGCATTACAAGCAAGAAACAGCAGCGCATTGGACAACTTTGGCCAGTGCAGTAGCTCAACAAAGGGTGCTCGGGATCACTGGTTTTGTCGCCGGTGCTGCGTACTCGGTTAAAGTTACTTTAAAAAACAATGCAGATAGCACAACAGTGATTGAGGCTTTTCCACCTTCATCTATTCCAGCTTTCAATGATGACGGTCGATTTATGCACGGTGACGTCGGCAATGTCAAAGCGAACGGTAACACGAACAACGATATCATAATCAGCAGTGATCAGCTGACTTCTCCTTGGTTGGTGGACCACTCAACTCTGTCGGTGATCATCAGTCTCAGCGCTTCTCTCCTCATTCTCGTCTCAGCCGGCCTGTGCTTCTTTTCCAGACGCCCGATAAACGTCACCGTTGATCAGAACGTCGATGTCGGACGTTACAGTCGTGACGTAAAAACCATCGAAAAGAGCCCTGTGTTGGACGACAATAAATTCCAGTCGCAACGTTTGGCCGATCCGCATTGTGCTGGCCCTGAAGGTACGTACAATTCGTCGTCGCTGATTATTCGCATCATCGCTGATATATTCGCTTCAGGATGAATGTTTTTTGTGTTGAATTGTCGTATGTGCATTTATTATCAAGAATATTCGACACTTATTTACAATTTAACTCTTCTTTTAAATTAAAATTTCCTAGACATTTTCGCACTAGAGCATTGTATTTCTTAGAAATTTGCCTTTTGAAATTATGTGTTAGAAATCGCCGTAGGCCCACTATATGGACTTGACTATCGTCAAATAAGCGGACCCAGTCAAATTCTTAATGGTTGAAACACAGACCAACAAATTTTTATATTTGGCCAGATCTGTCCACACAGAACTTCATGGTGCGTGAGCTCGCATTTCCGGAGTCGAATTTCTACGCAAGCGAGAGTGATTTGAACCCTCATTCTTATGGTGCGTATGGCAATGGAGTTGTACGTGAGGCGAGCCTCATTCCTCACATGGAGCTGCCTCCAGGGTTCGATCTTCCGCCTGAGAGCGAAATAATCCATGAACACCCCGAAACATCGTCTCCCATATACAGAGAGGTTGACGACAATTTTCCTTCGCCTGAAAATTACGAAGTTACAAATGCAAACGCCCGCTCCAGAAGTGTCTTCATGCCTACAGAGGTGCGGTATCTATAGATATTCACATCTATGAATTAATTGAATTTAATTTATATTGCGTCTGCAGTGTTCCTTTATTCTTGTCAATTTCTCATCCAGGCTGCTTCACTTTCAACTACAATTAAGTCACGGCTTTGAATAATATCTTCCAGGATGTTTTGAATTTTCACACATTTATCTATTTTTGTAAAGGTTTATACTTATATTCATGACAAGCTATTTCTTCTTTCTGCCAGGCTAAGGAAGAAAGCGATCGTGCCGGAAAATATTCTCAAGAAGAAAATACTAGAAAAACGAAAAAGAGGAAGCACCTTCATGCAAGATCATATGGACAAGCTCTAATTTTGGATCCCGTTTCGCACAAACAAGTATTGCAGAAATGCAACATCTACAACGCATCCACTGACCACTATGTGTAGAATATTTTATTAGTGCTTTTTTATTTGCTGTTGTGATTTTTTTAGTTTATTTACAGAATTTATATCCTGTTGATAGTGTGAGCAGTGAATCGTGAGCAAAAAAATGTTTAATAATCTTATTTGCTTTTTAACTGATATATCCTTTGAAATGGGTAGCTGAGTCTCATCACTTGACACATGGCCTGTGAAATTCTCACACCGATCCACTATAATTCGCATCTGGCCTTGCAATATAAGACCTGCGTTTATCAATCAGGAAAAAGTTAGCTCTATGATGCTTTTTAAAAAGAATAGATGTTCAATTTCGTGAAGAGCCGAGCTTTAGAAGCAACAGAATAATAAATACAGGAGCCGCATGGAGTTATTGAGAATATATAGAGAGAAATTTTTTCCTGGGGCTTGGGTTGAAATAAAAGAATGTTAGCCCCGTCTCATGATAAGCAAGTGAGTAGCTTTGTTGGTTAATAACCAACTATGATGGTGAATGACGAAGTGGAATGGTGAACAGTAATGTATGAATTTTCGTCTTGAAACTGGAAAATTCTGTTCCGTTTTAGATCTGGGAGGATCTAAATAGATTTGAATTCGGTGAAGCGTTGGCGGTACTTAAATAGAGTTTAATTGCGCTGGACAGTTTGTACTGTTTTCATCGCTTTCATCAACAGTAGCAAAAGTTGAGTCTTCAATATTGTGATGCGTAAAAATTATGATAAATCAAAATATGAATTATTACAGGGGCAAATAAATTATGAATGAAAAGTAGTTAGATGCGCTCTTCATTTTTTTACGCCGGCTTCACACGTCGAGGAACTAAAAATATAAAAGACCAGAGAATGGATTTTGTGAACTATTTTCTTGTTTCTTTTCTTTGTGAGTCGAACGATATTTGTAAGTTGGCTGCTCAAAAAAAAAAAAAAGGAAAGGGTTTCAAAGGAAATTATCATATATAACGAAGTTCCAAATAAACATTTTTATTATCCATTGTCAGCTTAGATAAAGGATTAGCAACATTTAAAATATTGAAATTGATTTAATCGTGAACATTAGGTCGATGAATACAACTCGAAAATCAACAACTGAAATTAATCAAGAAATAATTCCAAAGACCAGACGCATCCGGTGCTGGCCAAGTTGATAGCTGGAGATACGTCCATGATATAAGCCTAAGCCAATTGTTGGAAAATTTCTCCCCACCAGACTTCTTCGAGCACTCCGTTATTAAGAAGTAGACGACGCGCTGTTATAGATTGAAGCTATAGCTTCAAGCGAGCGATAATTGATCGAACTATGTGTGTTAGTTCTGTTAGTTCTGATATCTTTCAAATCCATTTCCAATATTTCGCTTACCTAGGTGACCTAAAGTGGTCTTTATTTCGTTATGCACAACATTTGAGTAGAAAATTTAAATTACGGGGTACCTGTAGAAAACTGAAGGTATCTGCCTACCTTCACTTAGTTCTGGTAGCGCGGCGATGTATAAAGTTAATGCCTCAAACCATTTCTGACCGGACTTCCAATTTAATAATTCCGATTTAATGACTTGATTAAATAAAGCTTTGAATTTCTTTATATAATTTCGAGCACACGTAGAAGTTTAGCAGCTATGCCATCCTTATTTCTATTATAACGACTTTAAAGACAAAATTTCCCTGCCCCTGTTCCGTGTCCTAGCAAGCAGTTCCACTCTAACGTTCATATAGTCAGCACACAGGATTAATCATCTCTTCATCTTCTGCCTTGGTCGACGTCAAGATGTCGGACATGAACTTCTTGTGTTTTAGTCCCGTCTCTATGAAGCAGTAGAGACCTGTGGAGCGATCGGGGTTCGGCGGTGGCTACCTTCCGGGCTGTGATGGGGCCACGGCGGACCACACTGGTACTATCTCTGATGCATCCGGGACTTGGGTCCTACCAGGAGCGACTTCCCGTCAGCACGGCATGAACTCCTGGCGCCACGGCGCCCACGGACCGTTGGACCATCAGGCTACGACACCGAACTTACTGGTTCTGCATTCACCGAGGTGAGCTGCGAAAACTGACGCGTAGTGCTCGCTTAAAGCTCTTCATGGTGCCTTGTCCCGCCAATATGGAGGGTAGAACCTCCACTTGTGCCTATATTAACTATGTGTATATTGAAAGTCCTGTGTCTATTACGCATTTCTAATGCTATAATACTTTAGTCGTCTTAGCCCTTATCTCTCTCTTATCCTGTGAGCTATATATGCGAATAGTTAAGACTTCCTGTTAATCTATAATTTTTTGCGTTACAAATTAAAACTCATATTCCTGTTTCTTTTACGCAGTCCAGACTCCGGTATTATTGCAGATTAACTACATCCAAAAAAAAGGGTGTTTTTTTTTAATTATATGTTTTTTGGGGTGTAGATTACGAATCTGAAATCCATTTTTGGCGGTCGGCATCGGAAAACCGATTTTTTGCAATAATACCGATCACACGTAGCGCACGACATCTTGAATGAAACTTACCCGTTGCACTGCAACGGGTAAAGAAGACGAAAATGTTACCCGTTGCACTGCAACGGGTAACATTTTCGTCTTCTTTGTCCATAAATCTGGAGATACATTGCCACATCGAGAGATCACAACCTAACGCCAACTCGCAGGTTGGGTTGGTTCGCCCAGGTTCCTTTTAGATCAAAATGCTATCTAAAAAAAGGAACTTGGCTGACTTAACCCAACCTAAGAGCTTTTTGTAAAATTTCGATGAACAATCCGACCCTTTATATAAAGGTGAGTGGGTAACGTAAGTTACGTAACCCCCATGTTAGTAAATAAAGGTGAGTGGGTAACGTAAGTTACGTAACCCCCATGTTAGTAAGTCGCGAAAAAAATCGGTTTTCCGATGCCGACCGCCAAAAATGGATTTCAGATTCGTAATCTACACCCCAAAAAACATATAATTAAAAAAAAAACACCCTTTTTTTTGGATGTAGTTAATCTGCAATAATACCCAGACTCCTGTTATCTAGTTGAATGCGGGCGAGTGCGCTGAAGCTCGAGAGGCGCGTCCGATGGTTGCCACTGCCATCCTTGGCTCTCGACGCGTTACTTCTTGCGGCGGTCAATTAATAAACAATTATTTAATTGATACTGCCTTATTTATCCCCCACTCGGTCGTATTTTCAATAGTACCTGTTTGATAAAATTCTATGAAACACAATTAAAACTGCTATTTACTGCTTCCCGTTGGGTCGAGCATATCTCGAATACTAACTTAGCATAAGCGGAGGTGCATTGCTTACGCTCTCTTGTAAACGCTATCCAGCGACTCAAATAATTATTGACGGGAATAAGTATGATTCTTGCCTTAAATTTACTCTCTTAACCTGTGTTTAACCCCATCCCTGAGTATCATTGTGTTCAACTCACTTTGGCGATGTTGAACTTGCTACTTGACCGTTTTAATTCCTTAAACTTTACCGTTATCCAATCCATCGCACATTTGAAAGCTCTAAATGCGCACTTATTTCTAATCGAATAAGGTAAGATCCCAGTCCGTCTTGATATAGATTATGGTAACTGATATGCTGGTACAACAGTTGCTATATACATTTATATTCTTTACTAGGAGTGCGGTTTTGTTTTGGGCATACACCTTGACAGCCGATTCTAAGACGCGCATCATACTGTTATTTTTGCGTTCTGGAGGAGGCGCAAAGAGTGAAATAAATTGGCGGCCGCATGTCTTCATTTTTCTTTCGACCTAGGAATACCTCGCAGCTGCAGCGTTGTAAATGAATAAAATTTGTCTGATTTAACGTCCTTTAATCGTTTAAACCCTTCCTAACTTTGTCAACTGAGGATACTAATAGAGGCTTGCTTCATGCATAGGAAAAATCCCTACACAGTCTTGTACGTCGGGGCACCGCAGGACGATGCTGGTGCAAGATTTGAGCATTTCATGATGATTCTGGTGATGGTGGCCTAAAAGTCAGGGTTGCCACTATGGTGGGACAAAGCTTACATTGACAATGAGCACATTGATGCAGTTGCCATCTTGCCACCCTGGGACCATGAGACAACACCATGCAGGCTTGTTCAGTCTGCCACACGCAGCAGTCTTCAATTCTAGGATAGTGTTGAAAACTTCTGTCATTTGCAGATGCATGTCCATCTCCTTACTGTCATGGGTTGTGATTTAATCCACTCCGGACTGTGATTAGTTGGTTTGTAAAGGATGAGACCCCCAAGAGACCGATTGCCTTTCGCCCCGTTTGTTGTGTTTAGAAAATCCCATGCCAAATAAAGCTGGTTTTATTATTATGCGGAAGAAAATGTGGTTTATATTCTATTATTGTTTGTTCCTCAGATGCATTCCAATTGCACATTCCACAAATCATAATGATTGTTTATTTTGGCATGGTAGTTTTGTTTCGCATCTTAAGAAACATTATCTTGAGTAAATTTGAATAATGGTATTGCGTCTCTGTTCTTCGGGGGGCTTTTTAGCGCATTTTCTCATTTATGGAAAAGATGCACCATTGTGCTCGCCATGTCCGTCTGTCTGTCTGTCCGTCCGTCCGTCCGTCCGTCCGTGACCTCAAGTTTTCGTCGACAAGAAAATGCGCTCTCTGTCACTCACTGCAGTGAGTACTGAGTTATATTTTTTCAAGATGACCCTACATTTATTTCACGTAGCTATCGGTCGCTGATGTCTTCGTTGGGGTTTATGCCTGGGTCCGGCGCGGCACGACTGGTGTTCCCTGGAGACGGCCGTACGTATGCCGAGATTACCCAGCCGAAGCCGTTCGACGTCGTCACTTAGTCGCCCGAACTGCCAGGCGCTCTCCGGAAGTACCGTCATGGGCGGTCATCCAGGGGACGAAGAGTTCTGGGACCTGAGGCGATAGAGGTTCACGAGTGAAGTCCCTGGAAGTTGATCTAACGCGAGTTGCTATGTCGGATCTTCATCAAAGTTTAAACTTTGCGAGCTTCACTGTCTCCAAAGTGCGACCCTGCGAAGGATGCCGTACTTGAGCAGCATTTGTTGAACCTATAGTAACATAAGGAGCTCCGGGAAGAGGATGTCAATGGGATTTACAGATTGCTGGAGGAGACCTCTCTGCGTGAAACCCATACAAGTATCTTGGAGAGA